ATATCTACACAATTGGGATACGATGACATCGATGCATCAACCAAGTCAGCGAGCCTGACCACCGATCCCGTTGGTCGCCTCTTACGACAAGCATAGGTTGCGGAAGATCAATTCTAACTCGGATCTTTACGGGTCCACATATATATTCAAGCAGTGAGAGAAATACACATGGCCAATTGTGGACAGAGATCTCTGTATCAGATGGGGGCGGTCGGGTAGCCTAGTGGTTAAAGCGTTGGCTCGTCACGCCGAAGACCCGGGTTCGATTCCCGTACAATGTGTGAAGCCCATTTCTGGTGTCCCCCGCCGTGATATTGCTGGAGTATTGCTAAAAGCGGCGTAAAACCATACTCACTCACTCACTGTATCAGATGTCGAGGAGCAATTTCAGGGGGTTAAATTTCGCTTTGATCATCTACTTGTTGCTGTGAAACGGATGCTGCTACTGAGTGACGTCTCGCCGTGCTGCTTTGTTCCACTTATGTTCCTTGCACGTGAATAAAGTTATGATACGCACAAAAATCTAAATCTAACAGAGCAAACAGACTAGCTTTATGTTTTCATGATATTCAATTAAGTGCCAATTTCATATTTCGAACAAAACAATTTTCAACTCACTTTTGCTTCTAATACTTTTTTAATCATGAAACGTTCAAAAATGGTAGTTAATTGTATGCCTCTTTACATATAGAGATAAACAACATATAGATCATGTTTATAAAGATAAAATCCGTGATAACTAAGCTACCTATTCAAAAAATTATGCACTGGGGACCCTGTCTGTTTTGCAATAATCAACTGTACGCTAATATTTCTACAAGCGGTAACCAGCTGTTGCATAACAGCTGTATGAAGTTTTAGTAACGCTTAATTGGTCAGAAAACATAAAACGCAATGACTTCTTTTATGCAAAAGTTGAGCTTGATTGTAACGTAAAATTGAAAGCTTTAACAAACTATAAAAGTAAATGACGCGTGTAACATATACAGCCAGTTGATATTGTGGGTTATTTACACAGACGAGGCCAAGCCTGTACACACGCATGTGATGCGCTGAAACATCATTGTGTTCTCTCCCATAAACGAGGCCCCCAATTGCCCATAAATGTTCCTAATCCGGGTTTATCACGCCTACACGGGCAGGCCAATCTTGTTAGTGTGATAGTGTTCCCTATCTCTCCGCCGCGACGCGGGACAGCTTCGGAGAATTGGCCACGAGCCACAGCAATACAGATCAATAGACCACATAGTGACAGTGAAAAGGCATGTTGAGATGGCTACAACACATAATATGAAACGACAGATAGATGACTACAACACATGATGTGAGATGACAGATAGATGACTACAACAAATGATGTGAGATGACAGATAGATGGCTACAACACATGATGTAAGATGACAGATAGATGACTACAACAAATGATGTAAGATGACAGATAGATGAGTACAACACATAGTGTAAGATGACAGATAGATGGCTACAACACATGATGTGAGATGACGGATAGATGGCTACAACAAATGATGTAAGATGACAAATAGATAGCTACAACAAATGATGTAAGATGACAGATAGATGGCTACAACACATGATGTAAGATGACAGATAGATGACTACAACAAATGATGTAAGATGACGGATAGATGGCTACAACAAATGATGTAAGATGACAAATAGATAGCTACAACACATGATGTAAGATGACAGATAGATGGCTACAACACATGATGTAAGATGACAGATAGATGACTACAACAAATGATGTAAGATGACAGATAGATGAGTACAACACATGATGTAAGATGACAGATAGATGGCTACAACAAATGATGTGAGATGACAGATAGATGAGTACAACAAATGATGTGAGATGACAGATAGATGAGTACAACACATGATGTAAGATGACAGATAGATGGCTACAACACATGATGTGAGATGACAGATAGATGGCTACAACAAATGATGTAAGATGACAAATAGATAGCTACAACACATGATGATCATTACAACACGTGGAGGTATTGGCAGATACACTGAAAGAGTTGTTTTGCACAATTATATCAACATTGAACGTATCGGTGAACCGACACATTCTCAATGGAGTGATGATACCCAACTGTACCAATATGACTGTAACACTGTTCCATTGCGTGCATACAACTCTATCAGACAAGGTCGATAGGCGACTTTCACACACCCGAGATTGATTGATATACTAGAGATTAAAGTGAAACATGTATTGTAAGATTAGTGATTGTTCATCACATAAACTACGTGAAATGGATCGATTGTATAACTTTTGTTTTAGTTTTCACACCTGATATTAAAAAAGTTGTTTTCGTCGTTTCCATAGAAACTATGGCAGTTGTTGAGATACACAACTCCAAACTTCGTCTTTGATTAAGGATATTTCAGCCAACAGTCGTACGTGAGAATTGATTCGAAACCCGTAACGCGACTAGAGAAACATGTGCACGTTAATTCTATGCTCAATGAAACCACTCACCAAGGCTTAGGTGTGTAGCGTCGGTGAGAGTGTACATGTGGTCCGTCGTCCATGCGTTCTATAATACAGGAGGATGTGTACGTAATGGGTACATGACAAGACGCGTACACAACGTAGCGAATGAGTATTGTTTTACGCCGCTTTGAGCATTATCCTAGCAATATGACGGGGAGAGACATCTATGTGGTGAATCGAACGCGAGTCTTCGGTGTGATGAGCGACCACTTCCACCACAAGGCTAACCCTGGAAATATAACCCTAAACAGCCTGAATATATTGCCACTATGTGGGTTCAAGACGTGTAAACAACCTGGATATATTGCCACTATGTGGGTTCAAGACGTGTAAACAACCTGAATATATTGCCACTATGTGGGTTCAAGACGTGTAAACAACCTGAATATATTGCCACTATGTGGGTTCAAGACGTGTAAACAACCTGAATATATTGCCACTATGTGGGTTCAAGACGTGTAAACAACCTGCATAGATTGACACCATGTGGGTTCAAGACGAGAAAACAACCTGGATAGATTGACACAATGTGGGTTCAAGACGAGTAAACAACCTGGATAGATTGACACAATGTGGGTTCAAGACGAGCAAAGAACCTGGATAGATTGACACTATGTGGGTTCAAGACGTGTAAACAACCTGAATAGATTGACAATATGTGGGTTCACGACGAGTAAACAACCTGCATAGATTGACACTATGTGGGTTCAAGACGAGAAAACAACCTGGATAGATTGACACAATGTGGGTTCAAGACGAGTAAACAACCTGGATAGATTGACACAATGTGGGTTCAAGACGAGTAAACAACCTGGACAGATTGACACTATGTGGGTTCAAGACGAGTAAACAACCTGGACAGATTGACACTATGTGGGTTCAAGACGAGTAAACAACCTGGATAGATTGACACAATGTGGGTTCAAGACGAGTAAATAACCTGGATAGATTGACACTATGTGGGTTCAAGACGAGTAAACAACCTGGATAGATTGACACTATTTGGGTTCAAGACGAGTAAACAACCTGGACAGATTGACACTATGTGGGTTCAAGACGAGTAAACAATCTGGATAGATTGACACTATGTGGTTTCAAGACGAGTAGGGCGGTCGGGTAGCCTAGTGGTTAAAGCGTTGGCTCGTCACGCCGAAGACCCGGGTTCGATTCCCGACATGGGTACAATGTGTGAAGCCCATTTCTGGTGTCCCCCGCCGTGATATTGCTGGAATATTGCTAAAAGCGGCGTAAAACCATACTCACTCACTCACTCACTCAAGACGAGTAAACAACCTGGACAGATTGACACTATGTGGGTTCAAGACGAGAAAACAACCTGGATAGATTGACACTATGTGGGTTCAAGACGAGTAAACAACCTGGATAGATTGACACTATGTGGGTTCAAGACGAGTAAATAACCTGGATAGATTGACACTATGTGGGTTCAAGACGAGTAAATAACCTGGATAGATTGACACTATGTGGGTTCAAGACGACTAAACAACCTGGATAGATTGACACTATGTGGGTTCAAGACGAGTAAATAACCTGGATAGATTGACACCATGTGGGTTCAAGACGAGTAAACAACCTGGATAGATTGACACAATGTGGGTTCAAGACGAGTAAACAACCTGGATAGATTGACACTATGTGGGTTCAAGACGAGTGAACAACCTGGATAGATTGACATTATGTGGGTTCAAGACGAGTGAACAACCTGGATAGATTGACACTATGTGGGTTCAAGACGAGAAAACAACCTGGATAGATTGACACTATGTGGGTTCAAGACGAGTGAACAACCTGGATAGATTGACACTATGTGGGTTCAAGACGAGTAAACAACCTGGATAGATTGACACTATGTGGGTTCAAGACGAGAAAACAACCTGGATATAACTCGTGAAGGCCATGGCAGCGCTCAGATCGAGTCCATAAATGCCCGCCCAGATTGGCAAGGGTGGAAACTGGACTTTTATAGTCAGTTAACTCCCTTGCTTTGGGAAGATGGGCTACAGATGACTATGTGAGTTTTAAGATGGCTACATAACTTAGGACATGCGTGGCTCTATGTGCGACTGCGACAAAGCAGGTACAGGATAGTGTTTGAATGTAAGGCAACTACTGGACCAAAGGCCTACTGGATAGTTTGGGAGTTCAAGGCAGGTACAAGACCTAGGGTAATCTGGATAGTGCGTGAATTCAAGGAAGGTACAGGACCTTGGGCATACTGGATTGTGTGAGAGTTCAAGGTTGGTACAAGACCTAGGGTAATCTTGATAGTGCGTGTATTCAAGGCAGGTACAAGACTTGGGGTATACTGGATAGTGCGTGAATTTAAGGCAGGTACGGGACTAGGGGTATACTCGATAGTGCGTGAATTCAAGACATGTACAGGACTTGGGGTATACTGGATAGTGCGTGAATTCAAGGCAGGTACAGGACTTGTGGTACACTAGATAGTGCGTGAATTCAAGGCAGGTACAGGACTTGGGGTATACTGGATAGTGCGTGAATTCAAGGCAGGTACAGGACTTGGGGTATACTGGATAGTGCGTGAATTCAAGGCAGGTACCGGACCTAGATGACACTGGATAATGTGTCAGTTCAAAGAGTTGCACTGCCGAGACTAGCCCTGATCTGCAGAACGTCATGCTTCACCCGATCTCTAGATCTCAAACACCGTTAGAGTTGCAAGTAAACATTCGATTAATTTTCCAGGACGCTATGACTGAAATCGATAGCGTATGTCCTGCCGTACCTTGTCTTAATACTTTATGTGACGTAGTTTCGATGTTTCTTATATCCTACTGTCTTCTATAATCGATCGACAATGGCTTTTTTCGTGTTTTCCATTTTGGTCCACACAAGCTGCTCAAGTCTTCCGTGATGGTACTCCATGTTGGTGGGTTCGATATCTGGTGACATGTTTTAACAGCTCCTTCTGACAAGACCAGTAAACAATGTATTGGGCGTTACATACTCATAGCATACCGTCCTCGTACTAATTACTGTCGGAGTGTGAGGATGCGTTCTTACACCAGTGAACACGGACTTTTCCACCCTTACTGAACATCCCGTCTCTGAGATCGATATCCCCCCGATCAAAGGTACTCTCGGCTTTCTTTGTATAATCAAGAGCTGGTTAGCAAATGACTTCCCCTGTTAACGGGAACATCAATTTTAGAAGTAGTTTGTGTCTATTTATTTTGTTTCCCAATTTTCAGACTTGAGTCCGTAACATAGCATCGTTCGACATGAAGGCTACACGGAAAGCCCTATAAAGACATCCATCTCACAACCGCGAAATTAATATTTCATGAACTGCATCAAAGTGAAGGATTGATTAAAGAATACGGCAGCGCGAAATATAAGCCTTCTAGAATAATAGGGCAACCGTGAATGAAGCCAACCGACGTTATTGGGACATCAGCGTTCCCGGGGGACAGAGCATGCGGCATGAGGTGTTACAGACGCTTCGCTAATACAACTGACTACTTCACCCGCACCGGCAGCGACATCAGCATCCATACAGCGGACAAGGAAGATCTGTGAAATCACGCGGAACTGAAAAAACTTACCTCAAAACTTTTACCCTTTTAAATTATGAAGTGTGAATAGTTGGTTTGTGTTGAGAGGAAGAGTGTTATTCATATGAACAGATTTGTTGTGGGGGTAGCACTTTGTGTTCTCCTTGTTCTCACTTACTGTCCCTGCAGGTTGGGGTGCTCTGTGCCGTCACTGACCACTGCATCCCCCCAAACCAAAGGATCGAAACTGCGGGAATAGGCCAGTGGAAACCAGTATTTATTCAGTTAAAGGTTCTAACGTTAGTCAAACACTGGCTGCAGCGTCGGCCGACCCTCGCAGCACGTCCCCAACGTCTGCCCTAGGACAACCGCACGACCAGAAGAACTTTCGATTTCTCGGCGGGTATAAGTGATGACAGTGATAACCTCTTTCACTGAAGCCGCCGTGTACTGGCCGAGCAGCTCCGAGAGCGGAGACGACTAGGCTCCCGTGCCCCCACGGATGGCTGGAGGTTCCAGGTAAGTTGACCGTTATCAATGGGGAATTGAGTTCATGGTTGCAGCAAGTCAAATATTAACCCCTTGCATGTCAACAACATCTTGATGTTTCAGAGAATGGCAACAGTTTTACCATTTGTGTTCTGCAATGTTTATATGTTATCAGTCTGACAATTAGAGTGACAAATTGTTGTATAAAGCACCAGGCAGCAATATTCAAGCTTTATTGCGGCCTGTATATTTATATCTGGACAAGGTACACCCGTGACTGAAGTCATAAATAACGATCCGGTCATCGGGGTATGGTGACACGCAATCAAGCAAGTGTCAGAGCCTCGCCACCCGATTACAATTACCCGGTCACGTATGAACAGTAATGGGGCACTGGAGATTTCCACTGGGTCCCTTGGGTATGGATATATGACGCGGTGTTTGAGCTGTGTCGTGCTGGGAACACTGTACATGTCGCGGTGTGGATACTGTTTGAACATGTCGTAGCCATAGACACTTTGCATATATACCGCGATGGTAGCCACATTTTTACTTTATTTTACAGACGTGTCACGGTGGTACACAGCTGACAGATTCTTTACACTTTACTTTACGGACATGTCGCGGCTGTATATTATCACTTTACAGTCATTTGTCGGAGGTGAAAACATTAAAGACACGTCGTCATTACATTACAGACTGTACCTCAGTGGTAACTACTTGACGGATATGTCCCAGTGGTAGTTCCTTTCCTGTTGTGTCCCAGTGGTAGATACTTTACTGATATGTCCCAGTGGTAGATACTTTACTGTTGTGTCCCAGTGGTAGATCCTTTACTGATATGTCTAAGTGGTCGATACTTTACGGACATGTCCCAGTAGTAGATCCTTTCCTGATGTGTCCCAGTGGTAGATACTTTACGGATATGTCTAAGTGGTCGATACTTTACGGATATATCCAAGTGGTAGATACTTGACGGATATGTCCCAGTGGTACACCCTTTACTGATGTGTCCCAGTGGTAGATACTTTATGGATATGTCCTAGTGGTAGATCCTTTACTGATGTGTCCCAGTGGTAGATACTTTACGGATATGTCCTTGTGGTAGATAGTTTACGGATATGTCCCAGTGGTAGATACTTTACGGATATGTGCCAGTGGTAGATAGTTTATGGATATGTCCCAGTGGTAGATACTTTACGGATATGTGCCAGTGGTAGATAGTTTACGGATATGTCCCAGTGGTAGATCCTTAACTGATGTGTCCCAGTGGTAGATACTTTACGGATATGTGCCAGTGGTAGATAGTTTACGGATATGTCCCAGTGGTAGATACTTTACGGATATGTGCCAGTGGTAGATACTTTACGGATATGTCCTAGTGGTAGATCCTTAACTGATGTGTCCCAGTGGTAGATACTTTACCGATATGTCCCAGTGGTAGATAGTTTACGGATATGTCCCAGTGGTAGATACTTTACGGATATGTGCCAGTGGTATATAGTTTACGGATATGTCCCAGTGGTAGATACTTTACGGATATGTGCCAGTGGTAGATAGTTTATGGATATGTCCCGTGGTAGATACTTTACGGATATGTCTAAGTGGTCGATACGTTACGGATATGTCCCATTGGTAGATCCTTTATTGATGTGTCCCAGTGGTAGATAGTTTACAGACATGTCCCAGTGGTAGATCCTTTCCTCATGTGTCCCAGTGGTAGATAGTTTATGGATATGTCTAAGTGGTAGATACGTTACGGATATGTCCCAGTGGTAGATACTTTACTGATATGTCCCAGTGGTAGATACTTGACGGATATGTCCCAGTGGTAGATCCTATACTGATGTTTTCCAGTGGTAGATACTTTATGGATATGTCCTAGTGGTAGATCCTTTACTGATGTGTCCCAGTGGTAGATACTTTACGGATATGTCCTTGTGGTAGATAGTTTACGGATATGTCCCAGTGGTAGATACTTTACGGATATGTGCCAGTGGTAGATAGTTTACGGATATGTCCCAGTGGTAGATACTTTACGGATATGTGCCAGTGGTAGATAGTTTACGGATATGTCCCAGTGGTAGATCCTTAACTGACGTGTCCCAGTGGTAGATACTTAACGGATATGTGCCAGTGGTAGATAGTTTACGGATATGTCCCAGTGGTAGATACTTTACGGATATGTGCCAGTGGTAGATACTTTACGGATATGTCCTAGTGGTAGATCCTTAACTGATGTGTCCCAGTGGTAGATACTTTACCGATATGTCCCAGTGGTAGATAGTTTACGGATATGTCCCAGTGGTAGATACTTTACGGATATGTGCCAGTGGTATATAGTTTACGGATATGTCCCAGTGGTAGATACTTTACGGATATGTGCCAGTGGTAGATAGTTTATGGATATGTCCCGTGGTAGATACTTTACGGATATGTCTAAGTGGTCGATACGTTACGGATATGTCCCATTGGTAGATCCTTTACTGATGTGTCCCAGTGGTAGATAGTTTACAGACATGTCCCAGTGGTAGATCCTTTCCTCATGTGTCCCAGTGGTAGATAGTTTATGGATATGTCTAAGTGGTAGATACGTTACGGATATGTCCCAGTGGTAGATAGTTTACGGATATGTCCCAGTGGTAGATCCTATAGTGATGTTTTCCAGTGGTAGATACTTTACTGATATGTCCCAGTGGTAGATACTTGACGGATATGTCCCAGTGGTAGATCCTATACTGATGTTTTCCAGTGGTAGATACTTTACTGATATGTCCCAGTGGTAGATACTTGACAGATATGTCCCAGTGGTACACCCTTTACTGATGTGTCCCAGTGGTAGATACTTTACGGATATGTCCCAGTGGTAGATACTTGACGGATATGTCCCAGTGGTAGATCCTATACTGATGTTTTCCAGTGGTAGATACTTGACGGATATGACCCAGTGGTAGATCCTATACTGATGTTTTCCAGTGGTACACCCTTTACTGTTGTGTCCCAGTGGTAGATACTTTACGGATATGTCCCAGTGGTAGATACTTGACGGATATGTCCCAGTGGTAGATCCTATACTGATGTTTTCCAGTGGTAGATACTTTACTGATATGTCCCAGTGGTAGATACTTTACGGATATGTCCCAGTGGTAGATACTTTATGGATATATCCCAGTGGTAGATACTTTACTGATGTGTCCCAGTGGTAGATACTTTTTGGATATATCCCAGTGGTAGATTCTTTACGGATGTGTCCCAGTGGTAGATACCTTACGGATATGTCCCAGTGGTAGATACTTTACGAATATGTCCCAGTGGTAGATACTTTATGAATATGTCCCAGTGGTAGATACTTTACGAATATGTCCCAGTGGTAGATCCTTTACTGATGTGTCCCAGTGGTAGATACCTTACGGGTATGTTCCAGTGGTAGATACTTTACGAATATGTCCCAGTGGTAGACCCTTTACTGATGTGTACCAGTGGTAGATACTTTACGGATATGTCCCAGTGGTAGATCCTTTACTGATGTGTACCAGTGGTAGATACTTTACGGATATGTCCCAGTGGTAGATACTTAACGGATATGTCCCACAGGTATATCCTTTACTGATGTGTCCCAGTGGTAGATACTTTACGGATATATCCCAGTGGTAGATGCTTTATGGATATGTCTAAGTGGTAGATACTTTACTCATATGTTCCAGTGGTAGACACATCACTGGTAAACACATCACGGATATGCTCCAGTGGTAGATACATAAGGGATATGCTCCAGTGGTAGATACAGTAGAGATGTAACACGGGGTGCATACGCAGCAGACACATTACGTATATGGGATAATAATAAAAGGATATTTGTATAGTGTTATTTTGGCCTCCGTTGACGCGTGTTGAAAGCGCTTACATGATTATTACCCTGGTCAACGGATCGGTGTGCACTCGAGTTTCTTTCTCAACTCCTTCGGGAGTATACAACCCAAGCTGCCTGTTAGGCACTACTATCTTTATATTACGTGTGTTTATACCGTAGTTTCTGCTCAAATGTGGTATATTTGTTCACCAAACAGTGGATCCTTATGCTTTCCAGTTATCATTCTCAACTCCCCGGGGAGTAAACATTCCAAGCCGCCTACGTGCTTCGCTTGAGTGGGTTCGTTTTTCGTCACTGTATGGATAGACCGCGATCGTAGACACTTTATGAAGATATTGCGATGGTAGACTCTTAATTCTGTATGGATATACCACGATCGTATAATATTTAAGGACATACCACGATCGTAGAATATTAACGGACATACCGCGATCGTAGACACTTTATGAATATACTGCAATGGTAGAGACTTTATGGATATACCACGATCGTAGACACTTGATGAATATACTTCAATGGTAGACACTTTATGGTTATACCTAGATCGTAGACACTTTATGATTATACTGCAATGGAAGACACTTTATGGATATACCACGATCGTTGACACTTTATGAATATACTTCCATGGTAGACATTCTATGGATATAACACGATCGTAGACACTTTATGGATATAACACGATCGAAGACACTTTATGAATATACTGCAATGGTAGACACTTTATGGATATACCACGATCGTAGACACTTTATAAATATACTGCAATGTTAAATACTTTACGGACATACCGCGATCGTAAACACTTCATGAATATACTGCAATGGTAGACACTTTATGGATATACCACGATCGTTGACACTTTATGAATATACTGCAATGGTGGACACTTTATGGATATACCACGATCGTTGACACTTTATGAATATACTGCAATGGTAGACACTTTTTGGATATACCACGATGATAGACACTTTATAATTGTACCACGATCGTAGACACTTTACGGATATTACACGATCGTAGACACTTTATTGATATACCTCGTTCGTAGACAGGTTATGAATATATCATGATGATAGACACTTTACGTACATACCGCGATCGTAGACACTTTATGAATATACTACAATGGTAGATACTTTATTGACAGACCGCA